AAGTTCATCGATGAACTCGTAACCCTCCTCTCCAAGGCGGCCAAAGCTTTCCACGGCTAAGGTGGTAAGTTTAAAGCTGCGTTCGTCAAAGGACACGTGTCCCGGACGAGCGTAGTGCTGACGCTTTCGCGCCTCGGATGCTTGGGCTGCGGTTCCATCGCTGGTCGCGCTGCCGTTCCGCAAGTGTACCTGTGCGTGCGGGTCTGCGTGTGTGACATCGAGGAGTGTTCCTTTGTTGCGGTACCCCGGAGAAGATGCGTTCGTGAGGGCTCCTGGCCTGATGACGATGTCCATGCTCAGGTTTCTTTCCCCCGTGAACGGTGCCCCGCTTTCAACGTCGTGTTTGACGCGAAGGCCGTTGAGTGCTCTCGATAGTGCGTATTTTAACGGCTCGTGCATGTTGACCTGTGCTCCATCCCTTGGACAGGTCCTTGCGTGCACCGTTGTGATGATCTCGCCTTCCCTGCCTCTGTGGCACCTGGGACATCTTTCCGCCAAGAATTCTTCAACTCCCAAGGCGCGTCTCGTCGCGTAGACGAATTCGTTCGATGGAATCTCTCGAGCTCGGTCGGTGGGAGCCGCTCTCAGGAACGCGTGCCCCCCTTGCCCTTGCGAGCTTCTCGTTCGTGCGTATGCCATGTTCCTGGCCTCTTGACCTCCGTAGGGGTTGTCCCGCGTGGGTGGTACCGCCTCCTGGGGGAGGTGCTCCAGAGACTCCATGAACTTTTCAAGTTGTATCTTGTTAACAGCCTTGCCCAGTTCGTGCTGGGCTTTCCTCGGCGTAGTAGATTCCCCATCGTGTGCTGCCAGTTCTGCAACGGTGGGCTGACGCCTTCCGGTTTCTCCTGTCGGTTCTAAGGCCCACTCAACCCATGACGGGGGAAGGATCCCCTTCAGAATCTCCACCGATATTGCATGCTCCTGGTTGAGTTCTTTGATAGCGTCCCCCATCCGCTCCACCAACACGGTTCCCGGTATCCGAACTCTCACCGACTCTCCCAATGGACCCCGTAACGCGGCTATAACCGCAGGAAGGGTGCCGACTAGGTTGCCCAGAGAAGCTGAGAACCTTCGCATAACGGCTGCTGGTAATCCTAGTCCTCCGGCTCCTGTCGACAGGCGCGCCTGGGCTTGTTGATAGGGCTTTAACTTGAAGCGGTCAGGCTGGCAGTCGTCTTGGAAGAACTCTTCTTCGACTTCGGTGTCTCTGAGCCCCATCGTTGCCTCTAGGACCCACATCACCATATTGTCCAGGCGTTTACAAGCCCCTTTCACTAGCTTATGATTGATGCCTCTCTCGATATATCCGGATCGCTGTGTCAGCGATTGTGATGTGACGAGGTGAGCCACCTGTTTGTCTGGCATGCGCACCAGCATGCGAGCAAGCTTGTCTGCACTCCCTTCAGTCATCACTTTCATTGCGATATCCTCGACGTAGACATCCGTCCCAATGGGGACTCCCACAACTGTGATGCCCTCCTCCGCAATCGGTAGGCCTGCATCGCCAAGTAGCCTCCTTCCTGCTGGCGTCACGTCGTGCCCTGGTGGGGGAAGCGCTGAGCTCTTCCCCCTGTTGACGATGATGCCCACAGCTTCTAGTTCGTCGACGAGGTCCGGTATCACCTGGATATTTTCCGCTGTGATATTTTTGAAGTGCAGGCTGATGTCGTCCATATAAGCTTTCAAGCATACCCCGAGGTGGTCGTACTTGGCTCTAAGCTTCAAGACGATCGGGACTAGGATGAAGCAGAACAGGGGCGGTCCCATTCCATCTCCTTGCTGCACACCGCTCTTGCACTCGATCGTCCGACGCTCTCCGGAGTCCATCGTGTATATCGCCTTTGCCGGGATTTCGTCGTAACACCTGGCGATGTACCCCACGAGATCTGGGACGCTCTTTGCGGCCTGGACCATTATGGCGGTGCGCTTGCCTGTGTTGAAGGCATTTGAGCAATCTGTCTGGACTACTCAATGACCTGTCTGATGAACCAGTTGTGCGTCCATCGCAACTTGTTCAACTCCTCCAGCTACCGCCACTCCGAATTGGTCCGCTTCCCGAAATATTTCTTCCAGTTTCGGTTTCCACTCCCTGACCGTTCCCGCTGCAATCAGCCTTCTCCAAGTCATTCCAATGCACACTGGACGGCACTTTTCACCGAGGGCGATTAGACTGGATTGTTTCCAAAGAGTCCAGAACTCCGGTGGGAACGCGTTGGGATCGTTGATGAGCCTCCTCCAAAGGGACGACATCGCGTTGCTGAACTCTTCCCGACCAATTTTAGTGTTGACGATGGACTTAAGGTGGGAGAAACGTTGCCCGTCATTTCCTGCTCCAGAGTTAGAGCTTCTGCTGTTGATGACTTGAAGGAGTACTTGTGGATCGAACTCGGTTTCTGGCCTCCATCTCGGGGCGCTTCCTTCCTCCTCCTCGGTGCGGCTTGCAGCTATGGCTTCGGCGATGGCCTGCTCCACTTGTACGGGATCCTCATGCGGAAATTTGGCTTTCAGACGTGCCCATGTCTCGTCGTTCCCCGGTGACGGTTGATCGGCTAGGAGCGCTCTTGCTGCGTCCTTCACGCCTCCAGAGTGCCGGCACGCCCTCGCCGCCCTTTTGAACTTGTCGTCGGGTGTGTCTTCCCGTGCCGGTCCCCTGCTCCTTGCACTCGCCGCCTTGGTATACTCAATCAGCCAAGGAAGAACGGACGATATATCCCCTCTTTTGAGCGAGTTGTAGCGTTTTTTTCGAGCTATCCGACCATCAAAGGAGTGCAGAATACCTGGTAGGAGGTACCAACGTTTGATGACCCGGATAGTGGAAAGTGGGGCCCCGGTCGCCGAGGAAGCGCCGCCGCCCTCTGCTAGCTGCTTGTTAACCAGGTGGAGCACGTGGGTTTGGAGACGGGCATGGTCGGAAGCAAACCTAGGTTGAACTTTCTTCACCGTTTGGAACCTGAGTGAGAGATCATCCATGCTGACATCGTCCAAAGCAGGCCCTATTCCCGGACTGTCTTGGTTCCAGATGTACAGCGGACGTGCTCCGTGGGGTTCGTCGTTTAACCCCCTTATCAGTCTTTCAGCTCGTAGCTGCAGCCCCGGGTCAGCTTGAACCGCNCGTCCCTCCAGGCTAGATAGTACGCATCTTGCGTGGATGGGATGCCCGCGAGTGGGTTGTACCACACGGTGTCCTTCGATGACCTGACCCTAGCACACTCCGCATCTGGTACTGGAACGAGGGTGCTCGCTTCTGTTCCCCGTGGCGCCAGGTTCCATGCTTCCTCCAGCGTCCCCGTTCCNCCGGTCGCCGAGGAAGCTCCGCCGCCTTCTGCTAGCTGCTTGTTAACAAGGTGGAGCACGTGAGTTTGGAGACGGGCATGGTCGGAAGCAAACCTAGGTTGAACTTTCTTCACCGTCTGGAACCTGAGTGAGAGATCATCCATGCTGACATCGTCCAAAGCAGGCCCTATTCCCGGACTGTCTTGGTTCCAGATGTACAGCGAACGTGCTCCGTGGGGTTCGTCGTTTAACCCCCTTTTCAGTCTTTCAGCCCGTAGCTGCAGCCCCGAGTCAGCTTGAACCGCCGCCTCCAGGCTGTTCCTCCGAGAGTGTTGGGCCCCGCACTCGTGCACCCTACACTCAAGCAGCCCGCGTTCTCCGCGTCCCTCCAGGCTAGATAGTACGCATCTTGCGTGGATGGGATGCCCGCAAGTGGGTTGCACCACACGGTGTCCCTCGATGACCTCACCCGAGCACACTCCGCATCTGGTACTGGAACGAGGGTGCTCGCTTCTGTTCCCCGTTGCGCCAGGTTCCATGCTTCCTCCAGCGTCTCGTTCCTGGTCGCCCGGTCATCGGCACCCGGAGTACCCGTCCCTCCCGAGCCCCTTCCCCGGTGTGCTCGTGCCGGATTTGATGGCGTTCCTCTTTCTCGCGACTCACCGTCTGGATCCGGTTCACTTCCCTGCCGGCGTCGCCTGTTTCCGCCTTGAGGTGGTTCCGAGGAAGTTCGTTGACGTTCACCCGATGTAGTAGCGTCATCCGATAATCCGCTACCCTCGCGAGCAGACGGTCTGCGCCGCCTTGGCGTTCCCAGTGATTGGCTTCTTTCCCCAGGTCTTACTTGAGGGCTCGTCCGACTGGTGGCGTGTGCTGTTGTGGATGGGTTCCTCGGGGACAACAATCCTTCTTCCTCCTCTGGGCCGCTTCCCATGTCAAAGCCCGGGTCGATGCCAACTCCCGTCACCCTTCGTGGGGCCACGACAGTCGGGGTCACTGTGTTTCTGCTAGTTTCGCCTCCTTGGTGGGGTGGGACATGGTGTTCATCCCAGTCGTCGTGGCGCCGGGCCACCCCCGCTACCCGCGGGAATGGCGGCAGAGGTTGGCCGGGGTTGCGTAGGGCGTTCTGTACTGCTACGGTGTAGAATGTGAGATGCGATTCGCACCTAGTCCAGATGCACCATGTATTCCTGTACGTGTGGCGCAATATAGATTCTGCCCCGGGGGAGCCGCAATAGTACCTGATACGGCCGTATTCCATGGGCGTAAAATGTAGAGCGGTATCTCTGGACCAACCGGTCCCACCCGTTGTCCTCGTTGCGGCCCCGAGGGAAGTATATGTAAACGCTTCTGTCCATCCCGAATACGTCGCAGAACAGAGTGACCAGGAGCCAGGAAGCCGTCTCACTTCTCCCGTGGGCCCGCACCACACTCTCGAAGGAGTCGAAATGCCCCGCCGGGTCCGCGCCGGATTCGGACATAGACCATGTCTCGAAATGTCCCTCTATCTCGGATGCGAAAGACACTGCCTCCCTCAGGAAGTCCCACCGTCCCCCGGCGTGCGGCAGTTCGTGGTTCTGGACAAGTTCCGCGGGATGAGGAGGTCGTCGTCCGTTCGATCCTTCCTGCGAGCAGTTGGCACATGGTCGTGGATCCACGCGTCCGTGTGCTATCTGGTCGGCTCTGTCCCACAGGCAGTTGGCGTGCACCGACCCGTGGTGTCCACACGGGATCTGGATAGGCTCGAGTCCCTCGGCGTGTGGTGGTGGCTCAAAGTGGCCTTCACAGTACGAACACGATCCGGTGCTACCGCCTCCGTTCGCGCCGGTGAGTTGGGGCCGTGTGTCGGGGACGGAACGTCGCGTTTCACCTGCTCGATCAAGCTCGCGCAATCTCTCACGAGCTGCTACAACCCTATCCTGCAAGGTTTCCCGCTCCCCATCAGCGAGACTCCATGCCGGGATCGTGATGGCTACTATCTCCAGGAGGCGGGGCCAAAAGACGTCGCGCCTCGAATCGTGCATGGCTGGATTCGGGCACGCCACCATCCTAGAGCTGTCCGACGGCGCGGTAGAGAGCAGGTGGTTCTCCACGAAGGTCATCGCGCACGTAAGATGTACCCTGCATGAGCACGGCGCGGTGACAAGCGGGCGTTGCCAAGCCCCGTTCTGATGGCATACGACGCAGACCCCGTCCGTCGCCCCTCGCGGAGAAGGCGTTGTAGTCGGAGCAGGTGGTGACGGGCCGGGCGAAGGAGGAGGAGAAAGTGTGTAGACGTATGTGGACGGGGCCGGCGATTCTGTGGGTTGTCTCCTCGTTCCGACGCGAACCGGCATGCGCGGCCCGAAGTCTCGCAGCTGGCCCCTGATTGTTTCGATCCGCGCGCCTAACGCCCGCTGATCCGCTTCGTTTTCGTAAAAGTTGAATCTGGCGTGCTCCGGTAGAACGACCGTTGCTTGGAAGCCGTGATCCTGTCTTGTACGCTGGTGCGGGCACGAAATAATGTCGTGTCCGCTCGCCAGGGCGTCGTGCAGTTGATCTTCTACGAGTCCCACCGCGCATCGAGTGTGGTAGTGACATCCACAGGGCGGAGACATGGTAGCCCCCTGACCTATTGATTCGTGACAAACTCCGCAGAGATGGCGAGGCGCGTGCATTTGACTCGCCTCCCGTGCGGTCGAGCGAGCCACGTCCCGCTCCGATCTCGCTGCTCGAAAAGCCTCAGAAACTACGTCGTTCCCGTGCTGCTGTTCCAAGCTGGTACTCGTCTCTGAGATGGTGGACCCTATACGGCACATGGGGCAGTGGAGGGTATCGCCCACTTCCCGCACGCATGCCCTCGCATAGCAGCCCACACACATCGCATGACCGCAGCTAACGAGGTTCACAGACGGTTCGCTGACATCTCCTAAACAGATGCCACACACCAGTGGTTCAGTAGGCGCTGCTGCCGTTTCCGCGGTGGCCGAAGAAGGCGTGTGTTCCNCGTAGGCGCTGCTGCCGTTTCCGCGGTGGTCGAAGAAGGCGTGTGTTCCGGCGAGGCCGGCGCTGTAGTTGGAGACGTGTCCCGAGGCTGGGCGACTGCCCGTGGCTCCGGCGAATGCGACGAACACTGTTCCCGCCGGGGGGGACGCTCCTCTGACTGCAATTGCTGCGATGGCGTCGACCACTCGGGGGGCAGCGCAGTCGGGCGACCCGTTGGCTGGGCTAGATTGCTGGTATCCGTCTGGGCCAGGGACTGCGGGGCGACTCGGTCGTCGTGACGAGTTTCGGGGGAACTGCCCCCCTCCGAAGTAAGAGAGGGCCCTGACTGCGGTTGACTCGGTGTCATGAGGGCAATCGGGACGGCGGGCAACGTGGGCAGCAGGTCTGCGACTTCCCCAACTGCGGCACTTGCTACGTCCGTTCTTCGGCCCGAGGGGGGAGCAGAGTCTGCCCGAGGGGGGAGCAGAGTCTCCCGGCGTGCCTCGGGAGGTGTCTCCCCGGTGTCTGCCTCGGGGGATGTGTCCCCCGGGTCTGCCCCCGGCAAATCTCCTTCCTCGGCGTGGCCTCCTCGTGGCCTACTTCCTTCTAGGGGCCGACTTCGTGCGCACGGTGGTTCTTCTGGCGCTGCATTAGCGTTCGGGAAAGGGTCGAGGCCCAGTCTTGGTGCGCGGTCGGTGACGCCTTGTGCGCTTGCTGATGTTTGGACAGGGGGGGCGGCAGATACCTGACGCCCGACCACGGCGCTGGTGCGCGGCGGGGTCGACAGGAGCTCTAGCGCCGCTCCTCCCGATGGAGCAGCCGCGGACAAGGCAATCTCCGAGAATCCGGCGGCCGGCGGGCTGGAGTCAACGTGGGCGTCTCAGAAGACGCGAGAGCCGGACCGACCGGCGTAGTCACAGAATCCGTGTGTGTCGTAGCGCGCCGCACGCGCAACCGTGTCCTTGATGAGATATGGCTACCTAATGAAGGACCTAGGCTCCCAACAGTACCTACGTCTCCCCCGGCCGAAGCCCCTCGTGCCGCCAAGACAGGTGGGAGGGGACGTGGAAAGGCCGCCCCCGCGGCCTCTCGGGTGCTACGGGTAGAAGTCCTGACGACCGCGCGCGCGATAGAACCTTGGGGGGAGGCTACTAATGACGGCGCAACCGCGCCGGGCTGGGGCGGATCGACGTCCATGCTGTCAGCCACACTATTTGTATCCCTCAGAACAGCCGCATCGGGTGAAGCCGGCCGCGGTGAAGCCCCCGGTAGCGCTGAAGGGGTGCCTGTCGACCGAGTCCTCTCTAAAGAGCGCGGAGGGTCCAGCGTCTGTGGCCCCGGATTGGGTGGCGCCGCCNCCGACGGCGCAACCGCGCCGGGCTGGGGCGAATCGACGTCCATGCTGTCAGCCACACTATTTGTATCCCTCAGAACAGCCGCATCGGGTGAAGCCGGCC